CGTTCTGTTTTAGAAAGAATTCCAAACACATAAGTAAATAAATCTTGTATATATATATATATATATATGAATTATCTGAAAAAAAGAAAATCATCTCTATGGACAGTGAAAATAGACACGTTTTGTGTAAGAAAAGAAAGCGTGAATATTAGCATTATTATGACTAAAAAAAGCATAATCTTCCGAAAGATTACGATCTTAAATTACGGATGATGAGATAGGTAATGGAAGGCAATTATGATAGACAACAAGAAATAAAGTATGGAAAGTCGAGCAAACGGTCGCATCCGGTTTCTTCCGAACATGAAGCTCATCAGAAGAAAAAGAAAAGGAAAAAAATCCGGATATTCAATATTTTTCGACCAACAGAACACCGGCCCTCCCTCGCATCCGGATAAGGGAAGACTGAGCGCGCGGATGTCCATAGGGCGGAAAAGAGATCAAACTGTGTCGCAACTTCCCGGATGACGAAACGGAGCGCATACGTAAGCTGCACGTGCCGTATCATTCCAAATAATGAAGGCCAGAAACGATAACAATCTGCCGTGTATCATCCCGGATAAGGCGTCTTAGAAGATGAGTGGCCAGTAACGTCCCATTCTCGAATAACCTAGAAAACTACGATAAAGAATTTACCGTAAAAAACGCATTGTCATATCTCTCTGCAATTTGGCGGCAAAGTGAACAAACTGTGCGGCAGCATCTGGCGGGGCGAGTACACAAGGTCAGAGGACGAAGATAAACAAGACACACTTTAATGGTGGTCGGACATAATTACAGAGAATGAAAGAGATGAAAAAAGAGAGATAAAAAGAAAGAAATACACCCCATAGGGTCATTCGCGGTTATATTAGGGTCTTTCAAACACGAAATCGTGATCTGGAAACGGTATGAATGAGATATATGAGGTTGTATACGTCTCATTTTCGATAAAGTCGTTATGAGTGTTGGAAATATGTTATATATTTAACTTGAAATTTAAAGAAAGCATAAAAGTTTAAAGCCAGTTATGGAATCTGTAAAATAAAATAAACAAATGCTCGGTCACTGCAGTTAAGATAAGAGAAATAAGACCTTTAATAGAATCATGAAATAAACCGTAGAATCAAACACTTGGCTCGTGCCATTGAACCGTAAGACAAGTGCCAAAAGAGAGCCAACTCCTAAAAACCTAATCCTAAAAAAAATATATATCGAAAACCGGATCAATCGCTATTTTCTTTCTCGTTTTATCAGTTCTCTCTCTCTCTCTCCAACCCCCTTCCCCCATCCCCCTTCTCTCTCTCTCTCGGTGTTTTCTCATTTGGTGCGAACAAACCAGTTCCGGGAACAACAAGATCATCCGACAGGTTTTTTTTTTTTCATTCTTTCTCTTTTTTTTCAGGGGGGGGGGGTTCGGAGTCTCGGATCGCCAGCGACCGAACGAGTTTCGAAGCTTCGAAAGTGGTTTATTTGCGTTTTCCGATCCCTTTGACCGGCCCGCCGCGCGAGCGAGAGCAAAGGGGGGGGGGGAGACGGGAGGAGGAACGGAGGAAGAGGAGGAGGAGGAGAAAGGAGAAGGTGGGGGGGGAAAGAGAGAGGAGGAGGAGGAAGGAGGAGGAGGAGGGGAGAGAGAAGGAAAAAGTGGGGGGGATGAAGAGAAGAATTAGAGAAAGGAAAGGGGGGGGGGAGGAGAAAGGAAAAAGGGGGGAGAATAGGAGGAGGAGGAAGAGAAAGCAAAAAGGGGGAGAAGAGGAGGAGAAAGGAAAGGATGGGGGAAAAGAGAAGAGGGGTAGGTGAAATAAAAAGGAAATAAGAAAGGAAAGGGAGAAAAGGAGGAGGAGAAAGGAAGAGGAAAAAAAGAAGAAAAAGGAAAAGAAAAAGTAGTGGGGAGAGGTGAAGGTAAAGGAGAAAAGAAATGAAGAGAAAAGGAGGAGGTAAAGGAAAAAGATAGGTAGGAGAAAGGAAGGAGGAGGAAAAGGGAAGTAAAGGAGAAAGAATGGCAAAGAAGGAAGAAGAGGAGGAGAAAGGAGAGAGGAGTGGGGAGACTTGCAGGTAACAGAGAAAGTGGAGGAGAAGGAGAAAAGAAAGAAAGAAAGAGGGGGGAAGAGGAGAAAGTAATGCAAAAAGAGGGAGTGGAGGAGAAAGGAAAAGGAGATAGGGAGAAGAAAAGGACGTCAAAGGGAAAGAGGAGGATGTGAGAAAAGAAGAGAAAGAGGAGGAGGAGGGAAAGCAGGAAAAGAGAAAGAGACGAAGAAGAAAGAAGAGAGGGAGAAGGAGGGAAAGGAGAAAGAGAAAAGAAAAAGAAAGGACGGAAGGGCAGGAGGAGAGGGGAGGAGAATGGGAGGGTAAGGAGAGGGTTGAGGCAGGCAGGCATAGAGGGAGGGAGGGAGGGAGGGAGGAGGGGGAGGGGGAGGGTAGGAGCCGGGCAGAGAAAGTGCTGGCTTGACCTAATCTCCTCCAGACTTGCTGAGTGACCAAGCTTCCGCACATCGACCCCGCCCTACACCCCCCCCCCTCTCACTGCCCCCTTTCCCTTCTCCCTCTCCCCCTCCCCCTCCCTCCACCCTGCCCCCCTCCCTCCCTTCTCCCTCCCCCCACCCCTCTCCCTCCCCCACTCTGCCTACTAAAGCCTCTTTTCTCCCCCTCTCCCCCTCCCCTCCCCCCTCCCCTCCCTCCTCACTACATATCTGCCTATCATCGAATGCTCTCTGCTTCCCTTCGCAAACATCTGCCATTTTCTATTACAGATGCTGAATAATGGCGTCTGTTAGTGATGATGATGATGAAAAAAAAGAAAAGAAAAGAAAAACTAAATATATAACAATGGTCCTCTACCTTACTCATTATTTTTTTTTATGACGAAAAAGACATCGGTAAATATTGGTATTATAAAACTGATATGATATTATAGACAAGTATGAGATGAAGATGGAAAAGAAATGATAAACTAAATATATAACTATACTCTTCTACCTTACTCATTATTTTTTTTTACGACGAAAAGACATCGGTAAATATTGGTATTATAAAACTTGTATGATATAGACGAATATACAAAATGGATGTTTTACGACAGAGAGACCGGTAAATATTGGTATTATAAAACTGATATTATAGACAAATATGAGATGAAGATGGAAAATAAAAGAAAAACTAAATATATAACTATACTGTTCAACCTTACTCATTATTTTTTAGACGAAAATACATTATCTACGACAGAGAGAACGGTAAATATTGGTATTATAAACCTGATATGAAATTATAGACGAATATATGAAAAGGACTTTGCCGTGGTATCTTAAATTCTTTTATTGTTTTTATTCGAAAGGTTTTTAAAAGACTGTTTCGCGTGGAAAGGTTTGCGGCGTGTGAAGGGTTAAGGGTAATGAGGTTTACGAGTTTTTTTTTTAGCGAAATTGGTGAGGTTAGAAGTTAGCGCAAACAATAGATCACGTGAGAAGTGATGGTTTGTTTGTTATTTCTTCTTTCGGTGATTTAAGAGGGTATTTTTTTAAACTTTAAATTGATTCCTAGACGTTGATTTGTATTTTTACTTTGTATTTTGGTTCAGTAATTCTAGAAAGATTTTTTTTCGAAAGGTATGTTTCATTTTTTAATGTTTGTGTACGGAATCTTAGAGATTTTATTTTTATTCTTATTTTAATTTATTTTATCTATTATCGAACGCAAGGAAGTACCGAATATCTTTATTCTATTTTTTTTTTTTTTTTTTTTTTTTTAGAAGCAGCAAGTCATCCACCAGATTTCTAAGATATAAAACTCCAAGAAAGAAAAGGAAGAAACGCAACCTCTTCACTCTGATCATCAACGAACCGAAGGAGGTCAAAGGTGAATCTTCTGTCTCGTTTTCCCGCGAACGAATATTTCTACGCGAACGCCTTTCCTCCTCTCAATCCGTGCAACAAAATGATACAAATCAGTCTCGAAGTCGATCGCATATCTTCGTCGATACCGATACGAACGACCCCTTAGCAATCACAGTCCATCGATTCGGAAAAGAAAACTTGGGCGAATGACCTCCTAGCCTCTTAAACGCGGCCATAAAAACCCGTCTTAGTCTCCCGGTGATGATCCCGTCTTGGCGGCCGCGTTCAAGGTCGACGCCAAACGTTCTGCGTTCGGACGAGTAAACACAACAACGTTTTCCCGCGCAAGCTTTCTAAAGCATTGTGATTATGGGGAAAGAAGAAGGCAGGTTTCGAAAGCAATTATCAACGCGTCGTTTGTAACGCGGGAAAAGGAGAGAAAACAGATAGTTTTACAAGAAAGTTGTGTTGGGAGAAGAACAGGTTCTGATCGCGTGGAAAAATTGGGTTTAGTCTCGCGGCGGCCCGTTTGGAACCTGTTCGTGGCGGGAGATTTAAACTTGGCCTGGTTGTGGGTCGACCTCCAAGCCGGCCTTTCGTGCTCCCGATAAAATCGACCTGGAATTATTAGCTCTGGAATTTGGAGCATCAGCCGCGTTTGGAATTCAGTTCGATATTTTGCCCCTTTTTAAATTTTTACTTTTCCGTGTTCCGCCGACCAAACATGACTCGGACACGAAACATTACTTCATGATGTACACATATATTTTAACATATAACGAAAATTGAAAATAAACAGAAAGTTTAGATGACATGATCCACATTTTAAAACAATATCACGCATCTCTTCTACACGGAGGACCCTCAGACATCAAAAATTAATTAGCGAATCCGATAAGAGATTTCGACGCGACGTAGATACCGATCTCACGGCGCGCGCTCCGACAGCTACCTCAGTGCCACACACTCGCCGACACAACACACGCCATAAAACACTATTTACAAGATGATGGACCGTCCACACGAATGAAGCATGCAGGGACGAATTCCAAAAAAAAAAAAAAAAAAAAAAAAAAAATACCGGGAGGATTCGGGACTCGATCTCCCTCTGGTATTTATATCTGGTATTTAAACATATTTCTTAAAATTTCACACCACCACAAGACTTCCATATCTCAGGACACTCACCAGCACAGATAGTCTCATGGCTGGAGTTTCTGCTTCCCACTCACGACTTTGATGTTTATTTTTTAATTTTTTTCCTTTTTCTCTACTTTCTTTCGATTTGTTTATCGTCTATTGGAGTGTTCCGTCGTCTCCACCAAGAGGGGAGAAGGTGATGGAGAGTGAAGAGGGGCAGAAGAGAGGGTCCCACAACCTCCCTCTCTCGCTCGATCTACACCGAAGACTCTCAAGATCCCCAAACGCGAGTGTGGAGTGAAAGCGGTTCCATCCACTACCGACGTCAGACCACTACTAAGCCTCCGCCGTCGCCACTCACTCCTTTTATTACCTTCGATCCTCGAGACCAATTATTCTTCCCCCCCCACCCCACTCCCCCTTTGCCCCCTTCTCTCCTCTCCTCCCCCCACCCCCACTCCCCCGCCCCCTTCTCCTTCCCCCATCCCCCCTTCGCCCCCTTCTCCTCCCTCCATCCCTCCCACTCCCCTTCGCCCCCTTCTCCTCCCTCCCCCCCCCCCATCGCTCCGCAGCCCCCCAGCCGAAAACCTCGCTTCCCCCCCCCCCCACCCCGGTCCTATGAAAGCCCGAGTGACTGTGAATGTGTCGCGTTCTTGGGGAAGAGAGGAAGGGGAGGGGAAGGTAGGGTGGGCGTGGTGGGGGCGGGGGGAAGGAGGGAATCAGCTGTTATTCTGTTTTCTCTGAACTGTAGCGTTTCAGATGTCAACGTTGTATAATGTCTTTAAAATTCTGATTTCTCGTATGCTGGGTCGATCGACGAACGAATAAAAAAAAAAAAAAAAATGGAAAAATCAAAATGGCGAAAGTAGCGGCGTCTTGCAACTCCTTCGCGCCCCCCCCCCGCTCCTCTTTACCCCCCCCCTCCCTCCCCTCCTCGGCGTGGCGAAAGCTACTCAACTTGCTATATTTCTTTTTTTTCCCTTTTTTTTTTACTCTCTCCTACTTCTTTTTTTTCCTTCTTTTGCCAACGAACTTCTGAATATACATTAGCTTCCTTCGAGGAGAGAGGATGAAAAAAAGGCGTGCCAGGGGCGGGTGGGCGTTCCTCGAGGGCGTGGGCGGCGGCGACGGCGAAGGGGTCTGCAGTGGGAATTGGAGAGACAAATCTATAAATTATCTCCTGTTATTACTGTGACATGACTGACCTGACACGATTCGGTACTTCATTTCCTCTAAAAAAAAAAAAAAAAGAAAAAAAAAAATTAATCATATTTTTGAATGAAAGGAGACAGGGAGTCTAAAGCAATTATTTCTTGACAGACGAACGCCATCTATTGGATATTTTTAACATGAATAATCTTTGTCTCTGAACGACAGAAAGAAAGAAATATTTTTTATAGTTTTTATATAATTATTTTTTCTTTCACTTCCTATCTCTTTGAATTTGGAGTAATACCTTAATATGATGTTATGTATACAAATCAGTAAAGACATAACACATATAAGAATTATGTTGCAGATAAAAAATAAAAACAAATGAAAATGACACAATGGCATTGCATTCACAAGCATAAAATTCAATCGTAAAATAAGATTATATCTATCTACACACACACACACACACACACACACACACACACACACACACACACACACACACACACACACACACACACACACACACACACACACACACACACACACACAAACAACAAACACACACACACNTGCCTCTTCGGAGATGGCAACTGAGGCCTCATGTAGGGGATCATCCCTACCTTGGACCTCAACCCTTGCCTCCCCCTTAATCCCATGCTTGTTGTCGTTGTGGGGAGACTTAGCAGACGGAGACTGAAACCCTCTGTGGGTGATCACTCCAGTCGGGGACTTTGGCCCTCACCTAACTAATTTTGCAAGGTCTTTTCCTCTGGCCCTTTCCTTTTTCCTTTCTTCATCCCCTTTTTGTTCACATCCTAAAGAGTGAGAGCCATGCTGAAAGGATGAAAGGCTGGCTTTGTGTCAGTCCTGAATGGCCTTCGTATTATGTTTGCTATTTCCTCTCTACCCTTTTCATTACCATACTAACCAGCATCACTTATCTTTGATATCTAACATATTTTGTCCTAATTGTTAACTCATTTATAACCTTTTTGCCACAAAACTGTCATAAAGCTGTTTGACCTTTCATTACCTGGGGGCTTTTCCCCCATGCCTTGCTCTATTTCTATATTTTGTATACACCCCTCATGACTTTAGATGTTGATGTGGAAGAAATTTTTCAATAAATGAATAAAAATCAACCCTCCGTCATAAATAAATAAAAATGCATTTATTTATGTATATGCATGTTCATATTTATGATATTCACTGGACTGGGCCTTTTACAATTTTTAACAAACTGGACATCAGAAATAGACAAACTACTGTGTGAACAACAAATTTGCAAATGGGAATTGCCAGTAGTTTGCCTCTTGACTTCTCTATAGCTGTAAATTGCAGTAAAAAAAAAAAAAAAAAAAAAAAAAAAAAAAAAAAAAAAAAAAAAAAAAAAAAAAATATATATATATATATATATATATATATATATATATATATATATATATATATATATATATATATATATATATGTTTAATTATGGAATCCCTATAAGATGGGTTCTGAAAAAGATATATGGAAGGAAATTTTAGATTTGATATTTCAGATATAAAAAGTATTTGTTACACATATATTACTGGTATAAATATGGATATAAAACAATAATGATATGAAAATAAAAGAAAAACCTTCAAAATGCATTGGTACTAGTGATGGATGAAATTATAATACATTAATAAAGGTAGAAAGATTCATTGATACCAATAAAGGTGAGATAATGATACAAAAGAGTTTTGCAGATTATCAAATAAATACTATCAATGACTTGTTACTGATGAAGATGGGAATGATAATAAAATAAACAGCAATGGGAATAGAAATAATAAATATAATTATTGTATAGAAACATTAAAAAGAAAGTAACAGCATTGAATTAGTAAAGTAACAAAATCATTTTAAGAACAATGATAGCATAGGTAATAATAAATGTTAATTTATCAATATCCTTATTCATATTACTGCATTACAGTTACCACTGCTGCATAGACTACACAGTATCTAATAGAGCTTTATTAGAAACAACAACAGTATATTGCTGAGGTTAAGAAGTAATCTGCTACACACGAAGCTGATATCTATTTATAATATATATAATAAATGGATACTTTTCAGTTTCATATGAAATTAGATGTTGCACATAAAGTGAATTCACACTTCACCAATATTTGTAAATCGTAAAAGAGCACAAAAGTTTTCTAGCGCTCTCTGTTTCGCAACTTAGCGCTTCCAGCTTTATTTAGCGGAAAATCGCTCGAGACCCAATGTTTACATCTTTCAGTTGACGGAATATGGCTGTCTAGAATCGTTGATAAGAAGAAAGGAGAAGAAGATGGCTACAAGGAGGTTTCTCCTTCCAGTTCTGATTGCATGTACATTCTGTTTTACCACAGCAATAAAGGAACCAAAAAGCTTTGCCTATGAGAAAGGTAGGCTATTCTTAACTGTTTATCTTGACGTCAGAGAAATGCCTTAATTATCGGTAATGTGTATAACAGACACTTGGTTACAGAAGTTGTTGCTCCAAGAGCCATCCCAATTTAACTCTAGCTATTTAGCTAGTCCATTTCATAGCAGTTACAATCAGAATTTTGTTCAGAAGTATTAATGAAACTGAAGGTAATTTTCTATCTTAAGTCCGCCACTCCTACATTGACGATTTTGGTACCGTTGGATTCCTATCACACTCTGTAATGTGGGTATGTAGTTTTTATTGCGCGGAAACCTCCCATTAGTGACAAACTTGGCCCCAATAGCAGAGGAGGGCATGAAAGGTTCCAGGGAAAATGCGTAGTTAAATAACTCTAACAATATAACCCACAATGAAAATAACGCTGAAAATTCGGAAGCTCATCGTCTGGTGGTGACCTCGCTCATAAATCTGTTTCGGAGTAGGAGCACCCTTTACATTCGGCCATCGTGGCGGCTATGGCTAAGTACTGAACGCGATGGCGGTAGGCAGGTCCATACCATGCCTGTTTGAACATGTATATCGTTGTTTCCAGAAGAACAGAAATTATACCGTATTATTTCGGTTATGAACACAGATCTCATGGTTCCAGAGGACAGGAAACTTGACCTTGAGGCTACGTTCTTATGCAATAGATGGTGACATAGTCACTTCAGTAACTATATGAGACAATAACTGCCATTGGCTGACTCTAATATACGTCTTAATAGTGTACGTACATCATTCCACTCCATTATCCGAGGCTATCAGTGTAACCTCAAGAGCTGCACAAAATCTTCTGTGGTAATGTAACAATACCTTTATATTTGTGTAACACCCTATACTGCCATGAATATGTGGAGGATTCTTTGTTTCATTGGCGGGGGTAGGCGGGCGGCCGACCCCTGCAATGGAAAGTAATGTGAATTATCATCGTTATTTTCATTTAGGGTTATATTATAAGTGTTATTTAACCCTGCATTTTCCCTGGAACCTTTCATGCCCTCCCCTATTTTAAGGCAAAGTTTGATGCTATAGGGGGGTTTCTGCACAATAAAAACTATATATTTGCATTGTGGACAGTGCTAGGAATCCAACGATACCAAAATCATCGATGTAGGAGCGGCGGACTTAAGATAGAAAATGACCGAACTTAATTAGGATTCTTTTATTTGTGACTAAAGACTTCAAGTAAGACTGTAAATGGTCCTTCATAATTGTTTTAGCATTTTTTACATGGTAGAATATGAATGACATACACAGAATCAGCCACTGTATTGATTAACGTGATCCCTCCATGGGAGGCTGCTGCTGTCTAACACCCGCCCAAAATTAGTTAAGCTTTTATTTTTGTAATTTATACTAATCGTTCTGTCTAATGGATTGTGATGATTTTGGTATTGAGTTTCTTTCACTTTCTAGTTTCCAAATATACCAGGTTGAAAAACCCACAAATGCACACAGAGACGCCGATCTTCAGTTGCAGCTATGATCCTTGTTGCTCGCTCCCAATTTTCTTTCTTGCAGATATATGAATTCCAACATCATTAACACAATGAAACAAAATAAAGTTCATCCATATTTAAAAACAAACATGAATATCAATCAATCAATTATTGTTACTTTAGAACATCGTTATTAAAAGTGAAAAACTATTGCTGCTGCTCACATCATAAATGTCCTTTGCTCACAGGTTAGAGCCTATACATTTTTGTTGCTCACTACGACACATCCACGAAAAACAAAATACTCTCCAACCAGGCAAATATATATTGTGTGGAAAACCACTAAATCCCCACATTTTTGGCCTGATAGCAGGGGAGGACATAAAAGGTACCAGGGAAATTGTTTAGCTTTGAATAGTATTGTCTAATGAATGATTTTGTCTAATGCAGGCTGTGCAGGGGTTGGGGGGCTTGCTGCCCCTAACCACTGCCCAAGAAAAACAAAGAATGCTCCACGTATTCACAGTAGGAGAGAGCCATGCACGAGCAACATGCCAACTTTGTCTGACACTTTCTCCTGCCATGAACACATGGAGGATTCTTTGTTTTCCTGGATGGCGATTAGGGGGCAATATTGTGACTGATTCAGAGTAGAGTATTCATATTTTACCCCAGAATTCCCCTGGTAACTTTCATGCCCTCCCCTGCTATCAAGGCCAATCTTTCTGTGCAATAAAATCTACATGTTTGCAATTTAGATGGTGAGAGGAATCCAATGATACCAACATCATTGTGATTCATGTGGTGGAACTATTGTTTTGTATTTACTGTAATTTTTTTTTCCACTTTACAATTTCCCAGATACAATTCATGCCTTCCCTTACTATCTATTCTTTGAGATTCTTGACTGAATCTGGAATTGTAATTCAGAAAAGATATGCATGGGTCGTACACATATAGTTGTCACAGATTATGGTGTTATGAACTCATGAACACATTTTTAGAAAGAAATATTATATAATGGAACCAAATCATATAGACTGCATTTTATCACTTGCCTCCCCTCCACCTAAAACCTAGATTTCTCACAGGCCTGTTGGATGATAAGGGGGATAGCTATCTTCAGAAGTGAAGGTTTGCAGAAAAAATAATATTAGGTTTGTACTAAAAGCACCAACTTACATGAGAAATTCTGAATCTTGTCTTTGAAAGTTATGTTGTAATTAATCAAAATTTACCAGTTTTGTAGACTGACCATGTGGAACTTCTCAGTGATTGTTGCAATGACCATGCAACTTTATCAAATTACACTTCTAGCCTGCTGCATCATACACGGTCAATAGTGCATCTGATTAATAGATGGACAAATTTGGGACATTTAATATATGACACTTCTTCCCAATTTTAAAAAATGAGAAAAAGCTAAGAAGCTATGTATGGCAGAATTACTCAAGCATAAAATCCAACTGCAGTAACATGGGTGAAAGGTTACAAAGCTCTTGGAGACCTCTCTGTCGTCATCAGGTGAAGAACCAGTCTTGAATTGAATTGCCATTGCCAAGTAGGTTAATTATGATATTAGATATCCTCTTTATTTTTTATCTGGAACGGATAGGTCCAACATGAAAAATGTCTCGGAATTCATAGACCAACTAATTCCACATGCTATTTAAAATGGAGGTACTGGGAGTGTTGACATCACCAAGAGTTGATTTGTGTTAGCAAAGAATGTGAAAGGAGCCTAAAATATGGATTCAGTAATTGACAAGTGATGGATAGCTAGATATTTAATCAGCCAAAATGGAATATATTTGTTATGCTTCTATGTTGACAGATACAAGTATTGCTTTTTCATTTGGTCTGTAATATTAGCTTTCTTATTTCTTATTAGGGTTCACATATAATAATAACACTGCATAAAAAGTTATTATTTTGCATTCAAAATGACTGCTCTATTAGCTTGTGTATTTAAGGAATAATTGGAGCACTTGTTTACTTTATGACCCATGGAGTATGTGGGTAAACAAACTGTGATTAAGTTAATTGTTTCATTCATAGATATTTCAGGAAAAATGGTGCTTATACTACTTGAACAGATGTATTTGAATAAAATGCATACCAGTAGATAAAAAAAACATACTTAAACAGCATTTTTATTTTACAGGTATAGTTGCAAATTTATCTCATTGTCCAGGGCGCTACTGTGGCCGCACATCACTTGGAAATGGATCATGGTCAGCATGTGGAGCTTGTGAGAGAGGCCTCAGAAGTAATGCTAGCAGTGCATGTCAAATTTGTAAGGATGAGCCAGAATTATATGACTGGCTCTACCTTGGCTTCATGGGATTACTGCCCCTGACCTTCCACTTAGGCTGCATTGATGCTGCAGCAAAAAGAAGAACGTAAGAAAATAGTGAATGTATTGAATATTGCATACAGCTCAGAATGAAAGTTGTAGAATATATTGGCTAAAATATTATTGGTATAATATCTTTTACAGATGCATCAATTTGTTTAAAGAATGTACCTTTAAGATTTCAAACTAAAGTATTGATTCTCACATATGTATTTTAGATTCACAAAAGAAGTGATGGCCCTTTATGCATCAGCTGTTGTTGAGGTGGTTGTTGCAGCAGTGGCTACTTTATTAATCGCTGACCCATTTGGAGAGTTCCGCATACGTTCTTGCAAGGAAAGAGGGTTGGCAGACTGGTATCCACTTTTTCATAATCCAAACCCAAATTATGAGGGTGTTTTGCACTGTACACAAGAGGCTGTATATCCTTTGTAAGTTTTTGCTCTTCCATACTTGTGAATTGATTATTTTTATAATTATTTCTAGAATATTATTATTTAGAGTAGTTATTGTAGACTTCACGAAAAAATATTTTTATAAGATAGACTTTTCATGAAAGAAACAGCATCTGTTGTCATCTCAAAATGAAGTGCGAGATGTATAGAAAAGGAATTATACATGAGTTCCATTTTTCAGATATTCAATGGTATTCGTATTCTACACATTATGTTTGATGGTGATGCTTTTGATACGACCACTACTTTCCTCAAAACTTCTTCCTGGCAGAGGAAAATCAGCTATTTACTCTGCCCTGTATTTCCTCCCAATTTTGATATTTACCCATGCTATAGGAGCAGGACTAATATGTAAGTGTTAATATTGTTTTTGATAGATTCATGTATATACTTTTATGTATGCTGGGTTATGACGTATGATTATACTATACCTAAAAGTATAACAGTATCCATAGTTTTATTTGTAACACCTCTGGCTACCAGGGCTTGTTTTCCAGAGTATTATTTTCATGTAGA